GCTCAGCCTAGCAATACGGCATACTTCAGCAATGCAGGGAAATCAGCCTTCCAACAGCTGACCTACAGATGTGATGAAGTCTCTGTCACCTGGGATCTTTAAATCAAAACTTAACATCTTTTTGGAGGGCTTGCTATAGCACAGAGGGGACTTACAGGCGTGCCTGCAGTGTAGATACTGCCGGAAGAGGTTCTGCGATCTGGTTAACAAATGCTGTATAAATAAATTAGCACAGTCATTGCTCCAGGTCTTAAAAATCTATTAATACTTTCAATACATGATTTCTGAAATAATCACGCCATCCTCTTACAAACCGCAAGCCTGAAACTGTGGTCAGATTATGGGTTAATTACGCTTGCGAACAGCTCTGGATTGTACAACTGAGAAATCCAAGGCAGCAAAACCGTAATTGGCTTTTCCAAGGGCATCCAGCAAATCGCTGGAAACGCTAGGCACTGAGCCCAGGGGAGCTGGTGCTTCCTCCTCTCCCTGCACCTCCCTCTTCCAGCTGCTACTAACAGCGATAGCATCGGGTGGGACACGAGGGCCTCTGAAATCTGCAGGGCACGGTCTCAACGCAGCATCATCGGATTCTGTGCCGAGGGAGGCATCTCCCCAGCAACAGTCCTGCCATGGTAATTGATGGGTCTGGCTCCTGACACAGGTGTGCTGTATCTCATCACCCCATCCCTGCCCTCCTATTCTGATGGGCAGCCTTTTATTTGGGTGTGGGAGAGAGGGGCACGTCCTGGTCTCTTTTGCCTCAGTTCTAGCAGCTGAATAGATCTGCCATCCCACTCTGCCTCTTTTGCCCATATAATTCCTTGCATTAAAGACTGGTCGATTCATTTCCCGGATCCACTCAGTCATCAAAGGTTAAACAGCCCTTGGTTTATCTATTAAAGGCAGGCAATTAGTTCCCCCATGCTGACTCTGGGTGAGAGTCAGGAGGGGACGAGGTAACCTTGTCCCCGAAACACCTGCAGGAGGATGGCACGAACACCCCGATAGCTTCCTACGGCTCCGCAGCCATCACCCACCCTGGAGAAACAGGGATTTCTCTCCACCGTGCAATAAGCTGAATGAACAGCCCCAAGGGGCCCAGCCAAACATCTGCTGTGAAATAAAAAACTGGGGGAAAAAGCTGCAAGGTTGGCAGGCGTTGGTGCAGCCACGGCTGGTGCCCGGGGAAGGACAGTGCTGGGAGCTCAAGTAATGCATGTCGGCTCTGCTTGCAGAGCCAGCAGAGGGGAAAATGTCAGAGAATTGGCCTGTCAAAATGACGAAGCTGAAAAAGCGAGAGCGGTGCAGAAATTCAGGCTGGGGACGAAATGCTTGAAGGAGCTTGCTGGGACCAGAGTCCATGGGCACGGTGAAACCTGGGGAGGGAAAGGGGACTCTGGTGCTACCCCACAGCCCTGCTCCTGGGCTGGCCAGGAAACTCCCTTCCATACACCTGTTTTTTTGTCTGTTTTGGTTGTCTTTTTTGTTTTCTTCCCAGCCTACCTGTTAAATTCTCACTTAAATTCTTAACTCTAGCTCCTCTGATCCGTATGGAGACCATTCCTCAGCTCCCCATAACCTCACTGCTGCACAGGTCGTTCTGCCAGCGGGCCCAGCACGCTGCCATGCACCCACCTGAGGCACTCCGTCTTTGTCCTTGATATTTCATACCTTTTTTTCAAATAGATTTGCCATTAGCACCTTCCCATTTAGCCATCACTTAGCCAGCATAGGAAGCTCTACTTCACCTGTCACCATAAATCACACCCTCCAGACCGGAATATTTTTCAATCCCTTTCCGTGCTCTCTCTCCTGATTACCAACATTTTCCTAGGACAGGGTTTTAACTAACCATGTCTCAGACTCCACAACAGCCTTTGGGGATTACTTTGAAATTATACCTTCTTCACTGGTTTGCAAAAAAAAATAAAAATAAAAGAAAGAAGGGAGAAAAAAAAAAAAAAGTGGCTATTTTAAACAATCCTGGGTTGACTGAATCCTTTAGAACTGGGAGAACTTTTGAAATAAGACCTCTGAGGAGCTCCTCATCATGGTGGGCAAGGGGCGTTCAGTGTTGCATCTCTGACTGGGGAGCTCTGGTTTTATTCTTTAGGATCCCTGAAAATGGGATTCAGGTCCTTAAAAATTTTAGGTGTGTAAAGCCCAGTAAATCCTAAAGTGAAAGAAGGCGTCCTCTTGCTTTTGAGGACCAGGGCTTCAGTCTCTTGGAGCTGAACCTGGAGATGCATAGATTTGAGACCACACAGCTTCCCAAGACCAAGCTCTCCAGGAGTTTTCCACATTCTGGTGGCAGGACCATGACACGGTTTTGCCATGAGGACACCATGAGGACATCAGGCACTTACAAAGAACTGGGTGGCATCCAGGGGTAGCCGATGAGACGTCCTGAGCTGCATTCAGCTTGACGATCCAAAGTTCCTCCTGGTTTTAAGCACTACTCCGTGAATCTGTAAAATGGAGCATTAATCCCTTCCCCGCAGGGCTATTCTAGGAATAAAAGCTGTCAGGCAATGGATGCTAAAGCAATCAGGGCTTTTCCCGACGTGTGAGATAGTTAGATTGACTATGCCCCCGCGAAAGCAGCAGAATCGTTTTGTGCAAGCCTGGTGATAAATTGAATGAGAAGGCTCATGCAGCCCATCTATTAACAGCTGGCCTCTGCAAAGGCTCCAGCAAACAAACACGGTGAATGAAGTCGTGGGATGATCTCTTTTCACAGAAAAAGGACTTCTCTCTTTCCCTTTTTCCCTCCCTTTTGTGCTGAGTTCCATCAAAAGGCAAATGCGCCGACAGCTTTTCTAAAGCGGTTGTTTTTCAGAAATGCTACCTCTCTCACCTGTTGGCTATTCAGCTTGCTGGAAACGGGATTAAATCTGGGAGGTGAAAAACAAAACAAAAACAACCCTGAAAGCACTCTGAGTATACAGCGGGATGAATGAGAAGCATCAGATGGCGAAACAGACATCTGATGTCGGCTCTCCCCGCCATCCTCTTCCCGAGCCGACAAATTCCCTCCGAACAGCAGAAATCCACGGCTATTTTTGCCTTCCTGATTAGTTTGTTTCAGTAAATCCCACTCCGTGGATAGGCCCAGCTCGCTTTAATTAGCTCTGGCACATTGACAACGAGCAGGAAGACACCAGCACAGCACCGTGCTGTCCGGACACACACCGCCAAGCAGTGACAAAAATAACCCATTTTGCTACATAACTGCTAAGTGCTTCCTGACTGTCTGCTTTTATCCCTGTAAGCCTGCTACCTAGCTGGTGAAATTAGTCTGACCAATCCAACACTTTACTGAACAAAATTTATTTTTCATCTCTTGCTAGCAAATTGTTCCAAACCCGGCAAAATCAGTGACTGTCTGGAGTTATTTTTCCTTTGATTTTTGTCTTCCACTGTCTCTCCCTGGTTCCCGCATCCCGTAGTATGTTTTATCTCCTGCATGTTCAGGGCAATCTGGTCATTGCTAGGCAACATGTCATAATAAATATTTCATCGGCAGAGGAGCATTCAGAGCTGCAGCCAAAAATCTTGATCTCCCTGCCCGGCAGAGGGATGAGCGGGCTGCAGCGAGAGGGGCCAGGCTGCCTGGACCAGGCTGGGGCACCCCACCTCGTGCAGCATCCAGGGGTCTGAACTTGTAATATTGGCCCTTGGAAGCAAATTTTTGGATATTACAAGACAATGGAGAGTTTGTCTTTGCTTCCAGGGCTCCCACAGCTCTCTGTCCCAAAATAGCAACATCCCTCATTGCTTTCACTCCCTCTCTGCCTTCCCAGCTCCCTGGGAGAAGCCCAACAGAAACGTGTCATCTGGGAAATACCCACAGCTTTAGTGGAGAAGCATGGAGAATGTGGGTTTGGGATCTCTGGTGACCCCCAAAAGGGTCTGTGTTGGCTGGTCAGAGGCTATCCAGACTGTTGCAGTGGTTGGCATTACAAGAAAGCAGGCACACGGTGACCGCTTTAGGACAGAGGTTACCTGCATGTGACAAAGAGGATGCACTATGAGGGGTGCCTTTGAATGACATAGAACAGCCTGGGGGGAAGAATTACAGCAACTTGGAGGATACATCACTAAAACGCAGCTGCTCCCAGTTCCTGCTGACTTTTGCAAGCAGCGAAGGGATGCAGGTTGGGTCCCAGTAGGGTGCAGACTCAGGCTGAGGTGGGACCTCTTTTACACAGATGGAGATATGCATGAAACATGGAGATGTGTATAAAGCAGTGTCCTAGCCTCTGATCCTGCTGCCCTAAAAAGCTATCTATCTATCTATCCGTCTGTCTATCTACCCACCCATCTATCTATCTATCTATCTGTCTGTCTATCTATCCATCTATCTATCAGTTAATCACTCTGGCCTTGGCAGCTTATCCACTGCTCCTTGTGCTCTCGATCTGGAAATTAGTTTTGTGGTCAGGGACCCTAAAATGTCTCTGCCCTGCTCCAGATGAAGAAGAGCACCTTCCTCCCCTGATTCCAGAGACCCGTTACATTCAGCCAGGGGTGCTCTGCACTAAAGCCCCAGCCCTGCAGGGCTGAGCTCTGCCTCCAAGGCACCGGCTCCTCCAAGATTTCCCCAACGCAAGGAAGAGCAATGGGAACTTGTCAGATGAGCGGAGCACACTTCTGTCTAGACTCCCTGTCAAGCCAAATACAATCTTAAAACAAATGACTGCAACAGACTAACACTCATGCCAGGATGTTAACAGGAGTACAGACAAGGGCAGGGAGGTATTTTGAGCTTTATCTATTTGCTTTCTTCGTGCGTTGCAAAGTGCACTTGCGGCTGTTTGTGTACATCTGATGGAGCAGGATCCTGCCCACCAGAACAACAAGCTCAGCACCGCGTGCGTGCTGCCTCCTGTGGGGGTGGGAAAGCCATTACTCAGGCAACAGTGTTGTGCCTCTGATTGGGATGCTTTCATCACATCTGCCTGCGATCATCAATCACGATCTCTATTTCTTTGCAGGCTGAGAAGTAGGTGAGGTTGGAAGGACTCTTCTGGAGATACTGTTAGCAGAAGGAAGCAAGTAAGTAATAGGATATGAATGTATTTCTAAGTATGTGGGAAGTGTAATGGTCTCTGATCAAAACCTCAGTGGTTTGTAGCTCTCTGATTTGATTTTTTTCATCTTAAATACTTCAAGGGACTTTCATGGCTGGAGAAACTTGTCCAGTGCTCAGGCATGCAGAAGGGATCTGATGCAAAACCCCATTTTGGTTAGGTGGAAGACATGGATGGCAGGGAATTCATCTTTCCCAGTCTTTGAGGACAGTGCTGGTGCAGTGGCTGTTCTTTGCAGCCTTTAGTCTTTATGGTTTTGGCAACAACCAAGGGGACTTCATTACTGTGTGCTTAAAATTAAGGAAAGGTGTGTCTCTGTGGTGCAAAGGTGCAAGAGATGCCAAAGTAGCCCTGTGGGTGAGAAATAATATGCGTTGACTTGAAAGCAGTTCTGTGTGAGTGCAGCTCGGGTGCCAACAGTGCAGATGCTGCCTGACTCCGAGCTGGCTGATGCAGCTCTGCAGAGCGCTGAATTACGCTGAGTGGGCATGGCCACAGTGACAGCAGTAAAATGTTGGAGACCTGGGCAGCTGAGGGGCTGAGACAGGCTCCTCTCAGTCTGCTAGCGTGCCCTGAGGACAGAGAAACCGAGACCCAGAGTACAAGGAGAAATGCACAGAGCAGATGGCTTTGCTAACAGGGGACGTGTCTGTCCTCAGAACTGCTTGGGTGGTAGGAGATGGCTTTTAGGAGTCATGGTAATTCACTAGGCTATGGAGGGACTCTCGCAATTAATGGCCATCAGCCAACAGGACGGTCCTCGTTAAAGTTAAAACACTGGTGTATCTGGTTAGTTTCCAAAATTTGTCAAAATACTGTCCAGAGATCCTGAAGTTTCCTAGAAAAGGAAACCCGTGAGCAAAACACTTTCATAAGGATGTAAGAATGGTTGTACTCAGCCTAACCAAACCCCACTGTGCTCCGATTGCTGTCTCCAACAGTGATCAGCAACAAAAGCTTTTGGTGTAGGAACAAAGAAAGCGTATGGAGGTGTTTGCTCTGGTGTGTCCTTCCAGCTTTAGGCAGTATAGCGTAGGCATTTTTAGCCAATATTTACATCTTTCTTTTTAACAACATTTGATTTTTTTTCTGACCATGGATATTGTTGTCTTACACGTCATCCTGTGGCAGTGTGTTCTGCAGTTTAAATTAAATCTTTAAGTTGCAGAATTAAGCAAAGATAAGTTCTTTTGCTCATATTTAACGATCCCTTATTTTTCTGCTATGAGAATGGTGAATGAATGATTTCCAGTCACCTCCCTCTGACATGCTTGGTCACAGGATGTCCACCCCTGATTTTCCCGTGCAGCTACATGGGTGTCTAAGTGTCACACCAGCAGCAGATCCAGCCACACTCAATTTACCTTGTGCAGGTAGCAGCAGCAGTGACAGCGGGGTGATGTGGATTTTGCCATGGGTTAGCAGCCCATGAACTTGTATAGCTCATACAATCACCTATTCCATCAGAGCTCCGCTATCATTGTTATCCTTGCTGGATACATCAAACCCAGCAGAGCTCTACCTCCCAAAATTACGGTCTCTCTCCGTTAGACAGAACAGGACTCCAGTTCAGAAAGGTGCTATTTTGAGTGGTGGTGGCTGAGATGTGAATGTCTATTAGGATGACACAAAGGTATGCTGAAGGCCCAGCTGATGTTTGAAGACTCAGCCTGGATATTGACTGCCAGCAGCATCTCAACATGGGAATTGTATGCTTTGAAAACCCCTAATTTTCAGAAGTCCCTGACAACTCTGTGCTAGCCTTTCTAAAATGAATCCAGACTGGAAATACTCCACAAGCACACAGCCTATTATTGCCACCACTTTTTCCCCCTGCATAGTACCAAGAAGAATTAAAGACACTGGTAGTTTTTTGCCCCAAGCAATCATATATAATATATGGTGCAGGACCGAATCCCTGCTTGCCTGTGCTAGTTTTGTACAGTCAGAAACTCAGCTGAAGTCAACACTTAACTTTGCAGAGCAGAGCCAGCCTCCAAAAACCCACAGCAATCTGTGTGCTGCCACCCCCCAGAGCTAAATGCCTCCAGATAGTGAGGGCAACTCAGGGCTGAACCCGTCCTGTGTCTCAGCTGGAGGAGCCAGTCGTGAATCATCACGGCTTAATGAGCACTGAGCTGAGGATTATGCATTGATGCAGGAGGCAGCATCCAAATTCTCCACCAGAAACGAACTGATTGCTTTGATTTTATTTTCTTTTTTAAAAGATGCAAATGAAGGGAATACACCCTGGCACCGGAGTTCACAGAGGAATATTTGCATGTTGGGATTTTGGTTATATTTACATCCATTTGGGAGAACTTTTTTTTAAAAACAACAACCGAAAATGTACAATGGACTTACCTGCTGTTAACTTTTTTGTAATGGTAAAATACAGATTTCAATGAGGTCACTATCCATTAAAAATCCCATTTAAATTGTCACCTTCAATTAAATCATTTCATGTATTTGGAGGGCTAGCCAGTTCCAGTACAGTCTCTTTGAAGGGATTTTTTCCAAATATTAGACCATTAGACAAATGGTTTCATTTTATGCCAGCTGAGCTCATCTCTCAGAAGAAACACAAGAGTGCTTTTTGTTTCCTCTAATTGTGGGGCACAGGAAGGCACAGGGGATGACGTGGCACTGCTGAGCAGGACATGGCACGTGGTGTAGGTGCCTTGCAGAGGGTGTTGGAGGCCATCTCTAGTGAAGTAGAAGCCCTTCCCTTTGGATAAGGGAGAGCAGAGAAGTTATAGATGTCAAAATGCCCATAGGGTCTGTAGTCCATCTTTACTCTCTGTCCTGAAGTTATCCCAGCATCATCACCAGCAGTTTTGTCCCTTCCAGTTGCCAGGCTAGGCAATCCTATCAGCTGTAGGAATATTCTTTCATTGACTTCTCACATGCAGCTCAGATTCATTTATTATTTTCTCAATCCATTTTTTGTCTTCAGTATTTCCCAAGCTCCTCTTGGCTGCAGGGGCTGAGTTGTTCATCCCCACTTCAGCAGACAGCAGTGCAAACCGAGGGCCAGTGGCTCGGAAGGCTCACAAAAGGCAGAAAGCCTTGGATGTGAAACTTCTGCCCTCCATCACTGCAGCATCGAGGAGCAGGTGACATCCTCGCTGCTGAGGTGAAGCCAAACAAGACTCAGAAATCAAACTGACTTCCATTTTTTTGCTACAAGAAAGGAAAAACCTCTTTAGCCACATCAGTGAAGTGAAGTCCAAGTGTTCTCTTTAATCCTCCTTAATCATGGTGTTGCTGATTAACATCTGAATAGAGCTTCTAATTAGAAAGAAGAGACACATGCAGCCTCACCCTGCTGAGGAGGTGAATTCTCGCTCCTACCACTCATTCCTGCATATGCTGCGCTGATTAGGGCTTGAATGGGACAATGATTAAAGAGGCCACTGCCACTTTGCAACCTCTCAATAGCATAGCTACATTCAAGGATTTATTTTCAACTAAGACTTGAATAAATGTTTTGCAAATGTGAGCCACTCCTGCCAAATGGAAAGAGCTTTTAAACACTTCTGAAGCGCTATTCCATCTTGTTCCTTGCTTTATCACACTGATCTCTGCCTGTGTAGAACATGCCCTGTTCGACCATAATGTGTTTCAATTAGGATCGTGGTTTAAGCATATGTATTTCATTTGTTATCTACTTCATTATTCAAAAAGCAGCTGAAGCCTGGTGAAAACCTGAAAAGTGCTTTATTGAAAAATCACTTCTGCCTTCTTGGGCAGGAGTGTTTTGCTTAAGTTCTTCCATCCATTATATAATTTATTACACTTATTAATTTGCGGTTGGCCTAACCAAAGTCAGGGCTCTGTGCAAGGGACTATCTATTTTCAAAGGAGACCATAGCCCTAATCTCCAAAGAGTTTTTGAACTCTTCTTGAGTCAATTATGTCAATCCACTTAGACTGCTTTTCTATGGCTGGGGAACAAAATGATCTCGATTGACCTAAGCCTTGTTGGAAATGGGCATGCAGCCTCGTACTCATGGGACGTCCTGGTTACAGAGCGCTGGCAGATGAATTCCTCCTGCAGTTGCTCAAGGAATCGCAGCCTCCGGCTGTTTGATACCTGTTTGCCAAAGCTGCTCTCATCTCAGCCTCTTCTGCACAGGTTTGTGCCTGGCAGCCTGTGGCTTTGAAGGGTGGCCAGAGCCTGCTTGGGTGCAACTGAGCTTCAGGCCCACGTTGCCATCTGCTGGCCCCTTTGAGGAGGAGGCAACATCTTAAAACCACTGCAGCCACCTTTGTGTGAGCCCACCTTTCATGGACCTTTCTCTCCCAGAGATGCTGACTTAGGACATTCCTGCAGCACAGGGTGTTTTGTGTTTATTTCTTCTATAGGTATCACATCAGCTAAGGAGAGATGGAAAGGTGTTTGGTGGCCTGTGGAACAGATGCTATGCGGTCCCTTGTGCACTAAATCCCCTTCATTGTCCTCATTTTCCCTGAATAGAATCACAAAAATCATCCCTCTCTCAGAACTAAAGATGCTTTGTCAAATGGGACCTTGACAATATTTTTCATCCTGGTATCCAAAATTAATCCTGGCAATACGAGTGGGCCCATTATGAGGAGGCCCAAGCTCTCGTTGCTTGAAGTCGTTATCAGACTGAGAGGAACAGAGGCAGAAGCGGGTGAAAAAGCAGGGGCAAAGCTTGCAATGTGACATCAGTAGGTTTGATTCAACTCTGGTGAAGAAGTAGAGATTTTACATAGAGCTGTCGAAAGAAATAATCTCCCAGAGACCCTTCCCTTCAAAAGTGCCTTTTCTGTAGTACTGTGTCTCATGCACCTAAATAGGCCAAAAGCCAATTAGCCAACTTTTTTTTTTTTTAAGCCCATTGCAAAAGCAACTTTCTAATAGGCATTGTGTGATTGAATTGTGACCGGCAGAGCTTGAGAATGGAGATCCAGCTTTTTCTGGGTTGGAAATGCTGC